AGCCAATCTGAATAGATCCTAGCCAACAATACTAAGGAACTCAAGTTGCCTAAGCAAGTGTCAACAACATTCTACGGATGTCTTAAACCCAAGAGACCAATCCAAAGCAAACCACAAAGATCATGTAGTACTGCAAAAAGCCAAAAGCCATCAAAAAGAACAATTAATCATTATGAAAGATCATTAATCATCATATCAATAAAGAGATGCATAATCATTAATGAAGGAAGAATCCACCATCCCGAAAAATAGCAAATCATTCTAATCAATAACAATCAAGCAAAACCTTTGATAAGGATAATCAACTATCTTAAATGATAGTCAATCATCATCAATGATTGCCAGATGCAAATACTAACTTCAACAGCGAAGCTAACAAGCCAAAATGCCTTCCCTAACAACTTTTAACAAATAGACCACAAGTATGAAAACTCAAAGAACCAAAAGCTTGAAGAAGAGTATAGCCAAGTTTTACTTAATAATAATCACGAGTTTCACATGAATTAACTTCAATGCTAAAGAAGAAATCATGGTACAACCCATTATATTCTCCTTAACACATCCATAAGCTAAACTTCATAATGCCAAAACTAATGAAGAGCATTTTAAAAACCAAACACAATGAAATTATACTCAACAAGTGATCACCAAACGATCCTCTAGTTTGTGCTTGTCCATGAACCTTTATTTCGTACCTGGGGTATCACGTTCATATTGGACAAGTATATGGCTTGATGGCACAAGTTTAGTGTTTGGGTCTTGTGAAGGTAAGTTAAAGAGTGATTGTTAGTTGCTTTGCGACTAGTGATTGTTTGTAGACTTCATCAAAGACTGTTTAACACTTGCTTTGCTCGATGATGATTTAGCAGTGATGGGTTTGCTTTACTAGATGGTGTTGTAGAGGATCGTGTTATTAAACTTACATGGTTTTTCTATATTAGCATATCGATTCTACCTTTGTCAATGTCATTTGGTTGCATTTAGTCTGTGGTGTTGGATTTCATTGAGTCTTGGATGTGGTGAATCACTCCTTGATGATGTGTTATCTGTACCTGAGTAATGTTGAAGAATTAGTCTCATATACTAAGTATAGTATTTTGACTTTAGTTAGCTTGATTGCTAAAGAGTTTTGAATGGTGATTCACTCTTGCTTTCTTCTAGCTTTGTTATGGTGTTGATGGCATTGAAGTGATACCTTATCATTGATATTATTGATGTTGAAATTCAAGTGAGACGATATGCCTATCCTTAGGATTGATATTGAGTTTCATTACTCTCAATAGAGATAGTGTTGATGATTTAGTTGTAGCTTTGTGTTATTAGCATTTGCACATTTACTAGTTAGCAACTATGTTGACATTCAAATGAACTGAGTAGTTGGTTGTGTTTTTAAATAAGATTATTTAGTGGGTTGAGCTTTGGCTTTTCCTTGAAAAGTGATTCTATTATGGACTATATTAAGTCTATAAGTGGAAAAGTTAGTGATCGATATTGGAATGTTTGAATCCTTATAAGTTTGAGTTGGAATATATCAATCATTAATGATTCTTCTTGTGTTTGTTATGAAATGAATTACATCTTGCTATAAATGGATTCGTGATGACCACTCAAATCCAATTCAATTGTAATAAGCCCACCAATACATTTAGCCAATAGCTTTGAGCATGCCTTGAAAAGGTTAGCTATACATGATCAACACTCAATAGCAACTAAAGTGAGGACCATGAGATAGACTCATATTGGTACACAACCTCCTTATAGACAAAGTTATAGTATATGTATTAACATCTCAAACTCAAATAACTAAGTTGGACATCACCATCCTCAGCCAAGGTGCAGGGCTACTAAGACTAAATCAAGATCAGTGAGAGTTCACTACTCTCATAGAGTCTTAATGAAATGCAAAGTGCAACCTGCCACTGAGCATAACACTACAGAAAAAAAGCACAAGGGTCACCCTTCTTAAAAAAGTGCAAGAAAAAGAAAAAACAGAAAACACGAGCTTTTTAGGGATCCCACTTTCGACAACAGGTTCAAGAAGAAAAACAAGTTCTTCTCAGAGTCCTACCCGGATTTCAAACATGTTTCTACCGGAGAGAGCCTGTGGATCGCCAACAGGAAAACACCAACCTGGGTCTCTGCAAAACTCGAGTCGCTCGCTGACCCAGCTGTAGGTAAGGCCACCACGGCCCGCTACAAATCTCCACATACCCCACCTGTAGCTGGTGATGAACCGGTGAGTTTAGGGAGGCTGATACACCGCGTGAGAGACTCAGCTGAGAGCAGATCCCTTTCTTTGGGAAAACAAGCCTATGAAGCTGTGCTCAAGAGTGATGAGCACAAAAGCAACATCTACTTGTTGACGGGATTGATCGATATGTACTGCAAGTGTGGCGAGCTTGAGGAGGCTCGCAAGATTTTCCACTCCATGGGAACCCAGAGTGTTGTGTCCTACAACACGATCATCCAGGGCTGCGGCTTGAACGGGCAAGCTGAACTTGCTCTGGAGTACTACTCTGCCCTGAGAGCTTGTACCACCATTCAACCCAATGATCGGACACATGTTGCGGTGATCAGCGCCTGCTCCAGACTTGCTACCGCATCCAGCGAGAAGAGGGAGAGAGCTCTACGCATCGGGATGGAGATCCATTCAATGCTGAGCAAGGAGAAGAAACAGGTAGATCTGTTCGTGGCGACTTGCCTGGTAGACATGTACTGCAAGTGTGGCGAGCTTGAGGAGGCTCGCAAGATTTTCCACTCCATGGGAACTCGGAGTGTTGTGTCCTACACCGCGATCATCCAGGGCTGCAACACGAACGGGCGAGCTGAACTTGCTCTGGAGTACTACTCTGCCCTGAGAGCTTGTACCACCATTCAACCCAACGATCGGACTCATGTCGCGGTGATCAGCGCCTGCTCCACACTTGCTACCGAATCCAGCGAGAAGAGGGAGAGAGCTCTACGCATCGGGATGGAAGTCCATTCAATACTGAGCAAGGAGAAGAAACATCTAGGTCTGTACATGGCGACTTGCTGATAACACCATTCAAGCTAATGCTTGCACCTACACCTGCGTCCTTGTTGCTTGCGGGAGTGTGATGGCGATCAAGCTCGGGAGGGAGATTCACCAGCTGGCGAAGCATGAGGGGCTGCTGAAAAACAATCCAGTTCTGGGCTCCAGCCTGGTGAGCTTCTATGGCAAATGCGGTGATGTTGATTCTGCTCAGGAAGCGTTTGACGAGTGCCGAGCTCGGGACAACACGGGTCTCTGGAACTCTCTTATACAGGCTTACACTCTCCAGGGCCGATCGATCGAGGCCTTGGAGCGTTTCTATTCCATGACTCAGGAGGAGGGCTGTAAAGCTGACGATGTGAGTTTTGTCTCGGTGTTGAACGCTTGCAGCCATGATGGTCTGGTCGGGAAAAAAAGGCAGCTTCTGGATGAAATGCCCAAGCAGTATGGAGTCAAGCCACGTCTGGTGCATTATGTGTGCCTGATCGATATGCTCGGGCGAGCTAACCTCCTCGACGAAGCTGTGAGAGTTCTCAGAGCCATGCCTTTTGAACTGGATGCAGTGGTTTGGAAATCCCTGCTCGGAGCCTGCCGGAAGTGGAAGAATTACACGATCGGCAAACTCGCGTTTGAGTGTCTTGTGGAGATGGATCCCAAGAGCAGCACGCCCTACGCATTGATGGCCAATATATTTGGAAACCTGGGGATGCTCAGTGAAAGGGCCGCTGTTGTGGAGAGAATGAGAGGTGAAGGCAGCTTCAGGGAGCCCGGGAGAAGCTGGTGGACGGATGTTAGCTCAGGAAAACTTGTCGGGGATAGGAGTCACTCACAGAGCGACGAGATTGCGGCCAAGCTCAAGCAATTGTTGCTGAGAATGAAAGAGGAGGGGTACGCGAGTGATGTGATCAACGTTCTAAAAGACATACCCGAGGAAGAGAAAGAGGATCACCTGTGCGGCCACAGTGAGAAGCTTGCGCTGGGGTGTGCTCTGGTGAACTCGCACCAGAAGGAGACCATCAGAATTGTGAAAAATCTCCGAGTTTGTGACGATTGCCATGCAGCCACTGCTCTCATCTCTAAGCTGGAAAAAAGGCTAATCATCTGCAAAGATGCCAGTCGGGTTCATGTGTTCCAGGATGGCAGATGTTCCTGTGACAACTACTTTTGAAAACATGTCAGTGCTCTTTCTTGCAGTTATCCCTGGTTTTAAACCCTCCGTGAGTTAAGCAGAAACATGGGCCGCTGAGTGAGCATGCCTCGTCAAAGTACCGCCGTCAACCTGAACTTCACGGAGAAAAAATTAACATTTAAAAGTTAAAACTATGCAAAAGGAGGATGACACGTTGTCTTAAATTTAAATTTCTTTTTGGTAGCAGAATCGGGGAATGCTCACTAAACCTGCCAACAGATGCCCCAGAACAGAGTGCCCAGATTCAGATAATAAGCCTTAGTATGAAAACCTGCCAGGCGAAGAGAATCCAGGGAAAGAACTGGAACCAAACTCATTAATGATTATGCACAAAAGAAAAAGAGAGAAAAGCAAAAAAGGTGAGAGAGAAGAAGAAAGCAATTTAGTTCTTCTATTGCTGAGACCATGCTCCTGATTGATCTGGAAAAACATCTCCTAAAGATTGTGGGGAGGGGGAGGAGCAGCTAGCATGTTCTCATGACGAAGACACAGCGCTGGAATCTCATCTTTCACCCTTTTGCTTTAGGGTTTAAATGCATATTGCGGATGACAAGAGCCAAGTGCTGCCTGAGGAAGAAGACCGTGAACTTGAGGTTCGTCGGGCTGTGATTGGGAGGAGGTTTTGCATCGGCCTGTGGTGGGTGAAGCCTCAACATGTCACCACCTGGAGTAAGTTTTCTTTGGAGTATTACGATGTAGAGGAAACTTCAGATGGAGAAGAGGACCTTCTTCACCATTTGTGGCATGCTGGAGAGCGAGATCCAGAAGCAAGATACCGGTTGGAGGAGTGCGGTGCCGGTGGATGTTCGACTGGGGGTGACTTTGTACAAGCTTTTCAAGAACACAGATTACTTGGATCTGGCGGACAAGTTCGGCATCGGGGAGTCCACAGCTCATGAGATTGTCATGGACACTACTGCGGCGATTGTCAAGTGTCTCAGGTACAAGATTCATTTTCCTTCAACGGCCAAGGAGGTTCGAGCTGTTACTGCTGGCTTTCGACAAGTGACAGGTACATTTTCTTATGTTTTTTGGATTGTTATAAGTTTTGATGAGCAATAGGAACCCGACTGCCTAATGTTGCTGGGGCGATTGACTACTAGACTGGACGGCGAGAGCTACTACGACTGGAAGCAGCGGTACTCGGTCATCTTGTAAGGGGTTTGTGATGCCCAGAAGAGGTTCCTCAGTGTCTACGCTGGGTGGCCAGGTATGTTTCTTTGTGTGTTGCTACAATTTTGTTCCTGAGGGTTGAATTATGAAAAACCCTCATGTCATGGATGCATCCTGAAAGCAAAAAGCTGCTGACATTGCCTGCGGTGTTAGCATATGATGATAGGATCAAGCCATACTTAGTGGGGGACAAAGGGTACCAACTCCAGCAGCATCTGATGATTCCACACACAAGTAAATCTTCTTCATTCTACTTTCTTTTGTTCACTTGTTTTGGTTGTTGCTCAGCTCCGAACCTGAGACCATCCAAGGCAGCTTTCAACCTTCATCACCACCTTGCTCGGATTGTTATTGAGCAAGCATTTGGACTTCTTAAAATGAAGTTCAGATGCTTGGATCAAAAACAAAGGATCCAGCCAAAGTACCTTCCCAACATCATCAAGAGTTGTTCTTGATTGATGTTGGGGAGACTGATCTTTGGGTGGAGATCCAAGCTTGGAGGAAAGAGGTGAAAAGGCTCAAGGACCAGGACCTCTTTGTCGATTATGGTGATCCCGAGCAAGCAGAAGGGGAGCCTTGTGAGGAGTTGCACAGTCCAGAGGATGCGAAAGAGGTTAGAGAGAACCTCACGTTTTCCCTCTGTCTTTGCCAGTGGCGTTCGTGTTTGCTTTCAAATTTGCCGGGATATAATTCTAAACATTTGAATTTGAATTTGAAATTTTAAAATTTGAATTAAGTGAATTTTAAGTGTTCGAATGCATTGTTTTTAAGTGCGAATCTGAGGGTGTTTTACCACTTAAATCTAAGACATGTGCAAATGCAAAAGTCCTTATAAGTTTACTTTGCAACACAAATTTTTTCAATGTGCAAACCCAACTTTCTTAATTTTTAAAGTGGGTCGCTTAAGTTTTTTTTCACTAAATAAATGTGCGAATTTGTCCTTTCTCAACATAAAAGATAATGTTTTGCCAAGCTTACCACAACCACTGGCAACCTTGATTGCCAATGATGTTGTCCTTGGCTGTGGTATCTATAACCATACAGCTAGTGCCAAAGTTACACCACCAATGGCCCATAGCAAGCACAGCCATGGTGGCACAAGGTCTCGGCCATGGCTAGCACTACCTTGGCTGGCCTTAGCCGTGGCATAGCCATCTACTAGAGGAGCTAGAGGAGAGCTGTTGTAGGAGGAGTGCTAGAGGAGTTGGAGGAGAGCTGTTGCAGGAGAAGTGCTGGAGGAGCTGGAGAGCTGTTATAGGAGGAGTGGTGGAGGAGCTGGAAGAGACTCAATGCACAAGGGGTTTTGGAGGAGCTAAAGAGTGAGAAAGAATGATTTGATGAAAATAAAAAAAAAACTGAAAAATCCAAGAGTAGGATTGGCAAAAGTACAATGTGGAAGAGAGTTGTTGCAGGAGGAGCACTAGAGGACATGGAGGAGAGTTGCTACAGGAAGAGTGTTGGAGGGAGGAGATATGTTGCATTGGAGGAAAGTAAGAGCCACTAGAGGAGTTGGGCACTAGAGGAAAATAAGAGTTGCTAGGTGGAGAGTTGGGCATTATACACAATACCATCTACACTAACTAACCTAACCGAACTCAAATAGATATAATTTTCTGGTTTGCTTTGATATTTCAATTTTTACATAAATAAAAAATTTATATGATGTACTCATTTTAATACATTTTTTTATTCATATGTACTTCTTGTTTATCTCTCAAAGAGTTCAACTAATGTTTTTTTTTATCAATTTTATTCTTCCTATAGCAAGCTTAAAGCAAATAGTGAAGAATATAAGGAAGAAGTCCTACACTCTTAAAATCTTGCAAACTTTCCTTTAAGAACTAGTCAAAAAGTTCACTTTTTTTGAGTAGTCTGATGTGTTTGTCTTTATAGCATGTCCATAAACAGAAAACAAGGAACTTTTTACTTGCTCCTCATAGTAGAGTATCACAGTGATAGAAGAAGTTTGAGCTTATTCTCCATGCAATGGGCAACAATATAATCAAGTGGCTGTAGTGATTGATACAAAAGTTCTCCTGGATCTTGCTTGTTAGGCTGGAGTGGCTAAGACACTGATAAAGGTAAGTTCTGCAAAGATTTAATAAGGTTTTGCTGGATTGTCCTTACTGGGCTTACAGTTAGATCATGGGTGATCAGGAGCTCACAGTTTTGCACAAGATTTGATCAAACATGTTTCTTGCTTGAGCTAGGATCCTTGATCTGCCATGGGTGGTGATCAATGCATTCACAAAAGGTGCCGGAATGAAATCCAACAGCTTAAGCACTTTCAAAAGACACCATTCTAGGCATTTGCAGTGATCATTGCATTCCAAGAGACCAAGGTCCTCTTGCTCAAAACTTCCTGCAATGCTCATGATCACATTTCCAAGATTGAGCTCCATGTTTCTAGAATTCTTCTGTGAATCGTCACTTCTTTCTCATACTGCACAGGACCCAAGAAATCGCCTCATGGAGGCTGCAACACTCAATAGTTCTAGGACTGGCAGACAAGCCCTGTCCCATGGACAGCCAGTGCTCCTTTCGTGGGGAATGTGCACATTACAGAGGTTCGTTTCTGTTTTCCAGTCTGTCTTTTAACTCCTCAAATGTCTTCGTCATTATGAAGAAGAGAACCCATTGAGAAAATACAGTGTTGGGCAGACTGTTCGAGCTAAAATCCTTTCAAAACGCAAAACCAGCAGAAAGCACAGAAATGCTGGCATTTTGGATTTATCTCTACGTCCATCTGAGCTTGCAGGTCTGTATGGTGGCCCTTTGAATATCATGACTTGCAGGAAACGATGCTGCATGCTCAGTGATTACTTTCGAGACCGTAATCATTGAACAGTCGGTTATCAGATACGTTCAAGAAGTAAAGGACAACTGGGCATGGCTAGTCCTTTCACCCCATCTTAAAGGCTGCCTTTTTATACTGGACACGTCTGACGATCCCTCAGAGCTTGAACGTTTTAAAGAGCGCTTCAAAGTCGGTGACCCGTTCCAGTGCCATATAAGAAGTGTTAACCACGAAAGGAAGCAAGTGGATTTGTCTCTACACCCGAAAACAAGTGACGAACAATTCAAGAAAGGCGACCTGTTAGGCCGACGAATGACACGATTTTTTGCTGGTGTTGGCAGACATACTGTGCAAGGCAGATGGGAAAGTTTCGGAAGAGTTCATGTAACGATACATGGATTGATGACCCAGCCAGTTTATTTACAGAGGGACAGTTCGTAAGGTCTTGGATTTAAAACGACCAGGGAGGGGAAAGATGGGCTTGGAACTTTCAGTAAGTTGGTGGACGTGGTGGTTTTGAGTCCCTTCCGAGCTATCAAACACTTGAAAGGTAACTTCCGAGATTTGCATTAAATTTTTTTGACTCTGCATCCAATGCTCGTATTGTCAATTCCGTATTGGAACTTAAGCAAGATATGAAGTGCAAGTAAGCAGAAACCTTGCATGCTGTGGACGTGACTTGTTTTTGTGTTGCAGGGTTTTGTCAAGAATGTGACGGAGAAAGGTTGTTTTGTGGTCCTGGCACCTTCACTTGAAGCTAGAATTCAACTGAAGAACCTATCGAACTCGTTTGTACAAAACCCTGCAGAAATGTTTCCACCAGGCAAGGTGATATCAGGAAGGTATGAACTTTTCTCCGTATGGAAGTGTTTGCTGATATGTTCTTCTTCGTCAGAATTTTAAGCATCGAGCCATTGTCTGGGCACATTGAAATGTCTTTGACGGCAACAACATCACAAGATTCAAGTGGCTGGAAGAAGTTTGGTGCTGGAGAGATCGTTAGTGCGCATACACAACATTGAAGCATTTGGGATCTTCATCACCCTTGCCGAGAGTGAGGTGGCAAGCTCTCTCTCTATCTTGGTTTCAAGTTCTTAGTCTGTGCTCCAGGTTGCTTCTGTCATGTCTCTGAAGTATCTTACGATTTTATTCAAGACTTGTCAACACTTTACAAAGTCGGCCAATGGGTTCAAGTAAAGATTCTAAAGGTGAGAACGAAAGCTTTAGTAAAACCACATGATTTCGCTCTACAGGTTGATGCGGAAACCAAACGTATATCTCTTGGAATGAAAGCGTCATATCTGACCCCTGAGGATGGCATCGAGCCGATGGAGGAAGAAGCTATAAATGAAGAGCCTTCGAACACAAATGTGCTCATGAATAATGATGAGAGGGAGGAGGAGGACTACTTGGATCTGGCATCAAAACGATTCCCACAGCTGTGCATGTCGATCCACTCTCAACAAAGACGTTGAGGATACAGTGCCAATTGACTTGAAAGAGCAGAGTTACTTCTTGTTTATATTTACTCTTCTCATGTCCTGCTTCTCAACAGGGAGGCTGCAGCAAAAGAGAAGTTATTACAGATGGACCAGCCTCCAGAGACCAAGGACGACTTTGAAAGGCTTGTAGCAGCGTCACCAAATAGTAGCTACATGTGAATCAAATGCATGGCTTATTGGTTGTGTCTTGCGGACCTGGACAAGGAGTGAGCAGTGGCTGAAAGGTAACACTCTACTCGCATTTGATTCTATTTTTCTTGAGGTGTTACGATCCAAGCTCTTTTTTATAGGGCATTGGAAAAGATAATTTATCGAGAAGAAATGGAAAAGATGAACATATGGATGGCTTATCTCAACCTAGGGAAGCATTTAAAGAGCAAATAGCAATTACTTTAGGTGGTTATAATGATCATGGAAACTACTATAGTAAGCATGCTTGTGTTTGGGGATGCAGATCAAAGGTATGGTAGAAGACCTCAATGTTTTGAGTGCTAATGTTGGGGATATATTACAACAAAGTGTGGCAATTTGTTAGGTGCCAGCTTTGACCACATGGTTAACATCGGTCAAAGGGGCATGTTAGGGTAAAGAATTTAAGAGTGACAGCACAAAGGAGC